GTGAAGTTCTAGACATCATGACCTCCACAAACAGTCTGAATTATCTCACTCTCTTGTTTTTTTTGGACAGACTTCCAATTTCTGTATATTTTCGGTCTCTTTCCCTCGTCTTCTGTTTCACCATCCGCTTTAAGTCATTTTAACCACCATGCCTCCTTACTTCCAGGCAGTTATTACCACTCTAATTAATTCCACACGCTAACGCTGGTCAGGCCCTGGTGTCGCTTACTCTCGCATGTTTCACCCAAACATCCAAGCCTTCGCTCTTTCCCTCTCTCTCCCTCCCCATTCCTCGGTAATTGCACCCAACCGCTCCCAGCCAGAACAATTAAGTTCCCATCAAAGTAAAGGCAGAAGCCTTGGAGCTGGAACACCGTAGACTAGTGGCGGTCCTGGAAAGGCTTGCAGAGCACAGATGTAGACATGACATAAAGGCTCCCTCTGACTGCATGGGAGCAGTAAACGAGTGCTGCAGGAAGTCTCTGAGGGACCTTTTGTTTCACACGTGTCGCTGGGGAACGCAGCCATGTGGTGATGCATTGATTTACTGTTTGTGCTACAAAGTGCACATATGCTCACGTTTCCAACCAAAAAAAATGGCACATTTGCTGAAATGCTGCATTGAAGGATCCAAAAAACTTGACCTACGCAGAATTAAATATTGCAACAAAAGATCTACTGACAGATGTTATGTTTGACATTATCTTTTAAAGGATGCCAAGTTTGTAAAGATGTTGTTTTCTTTTGTGGTTGATTTAAATGTACAGATAGCTACATAAAATAAACAACGAAACCCCACCAGAAAATTTCATGTTGCAGTTTTCTTTCTCTGTGTCACTTAATAGCTGAAAGTCGAGTTGTAGTTACTGTACTTTCATTTCCTTTACAAGCTTGATTTCTACATCCTTAGCATAATTATTTTTCACACCATATAAAGTGCAATAGATGTACATATTAGTCCTATTCAATTAATTTCTTTTCCCTCTAAACCAGGGGTGTCAAACTCCAGTCCTCAAGGGCCGCTGTCCTGCAGTTTTTTGATGTGCCACAGGTACAAAACACAGGAATGAAATGGCTTAATTACCTCCTCCTTGTATAGATCACTTCTCCAGAGTCTTGCTAATGACCTAATTATTCTATTCAGGTGTGATGCAGCAGAGGCACATCTAAAAGTTGCAGGACATCGGCCATCGAGGACTAGATGTTGACACCCCTGCTCTATAGTATAGCTGTTACTTTACAATGTCAGCCACCGTTTCTAGACACAGAAATAGGATTTAAAAGGTTAGCTACTGAATTTTTCCCTGTGTGTAAAGACTGCTGCTCCCCTCTAACTCTCCTTATGTTTTTCACATTTTTTGTCCTATTTTTACAAGCCAGTATTTTAGGGAAACATTCAAATGTACATTATTATCTGAGTGTATGTATGAGAAAAGTTTGCATCTCATTTATAAGAAAAAACAGAAAACAAAATTTCCTCAGAACCAAAAAGTTCCACTTTCCAAGTTCTCAATTTTGAGTTGTTCACTTAACCAAACAATTACTTTATTTGTTTGTTTTCGAGTTGACTTTAAACTCTTGGTCAGAAATGATTTTTTTTTTTTCAAAATTTATATTATTACCTTAAAATGCTGTTAATACAGAAAATAAAAATGAAAAAATAAAATATTCACAAAAAATATTTCTTTGGGTGGATGAACAAACTACTGCCTGAGATCAGTCGGCTGTTAGCGATCTATCAGCAGCAATTATTAAGTGAGGAACAGGACAGACTTGCTGTCAGTCATGTAAGTCAAAGCAAAGCTATTATTTGCAAAGTGTATTCACGGACTGAATGGCTTTTTCTTCAGTTCCTCCGCTGGCACTGCTAAAACTTACAGTTCTAAAATGGAAGAAAATCAATGTCATCATTCACAGCTTCTCCTTTTGTTCGTCGAAAATCCAAACACACATGAGAAAAACCAGCCTGTCTGTGACGATTTCAGTCGAGTGAAGTGCTCCGCTTTAGCATTGGCGTTTTGAATCCTAGTTATCTTAAGTTTTATTTTGGATTTTACTTTTTATTTATGTTGTAAAAGATGTTATTTTGGCAATAGTGGCCTTTAACGAACTGCAGATAGACAGGAAATAAGATGGAGGGAGAAGGGGAAGGCAAACGGTCTGGACTGGGACGAACCCATCTAGAGCCGCGGCCTCTGCACACAGCGTGCGCTCACTGAGCCACCCAGCACCACACAACTTCACAGTTTGACTGGAGCTTTTACGAGTGGTTTTTTAAACACGCTGACTCATTTAGACATTTTTCACATGAAGCAGCTACTACCAGTAACCCACCACCACTAGTTTTAAAGATGTGGAAAGAAATGATATCATGGGATTTTTCTTTATTTCTTTACTTTGCCCTCCCCTAAAAGTCACATATCGACACTAACCTCACTTTCAGTCTGCGACAGTTGGCTGGAAATGATACAGTTTTAAGAGATTCAGTCATAAAAATAACTATGTATTTAAGAATTTAAGCCTATGAGAGAAGGTCTGTAAAGAGATCCTGCCCTGCCTTTTGGTAGCTCCAGCTCCACGAATAGATTTACAGGCTTTCATTAAAGTAGCTAGCGGTTATGCAGGGCAGAGGCTCTTGGACAGCCATCTGTGTGTGTATGTGTGAGTCGGACTTTATGTGGCTCTAGGTGTGTGTCTGTGCGTGTGTGTGTGAAAAGCTAGGCCCCAGATTGCTTCCAGAAGCGGAGTTCCACAGCCTGCTGTTTCATTTCAGCTACAAAGTAACCGCAATGCTACACAGAGTGCAGAGTTGCATCCCCCCCTCCTGCAGCTCTCCTCTCTGTATTGTCCAACCTTTCTCTCCCTTCTACTTCTTCTTTCATGGTTAGAGTTCGATCACGAATCAACAGCTGTGTAATTTCATTTCTCTCCATTTTGGGATTTCAGTGGGAAGGGGAGCCAGACTGATCCAATTTCAAACAACTTTGAATTCAAACCAGTAGATTTTCCCAGCTGAAGCTTCAACTCCAGAGGTTGGCCTGTGAAATCCCAACATTTCCTCACTGCTACATTTCCTCCAGTTTTTCCTTCTTCTTCTTTTGCATAGTATCATCAACTAAATAAAGACTTCTTAATTCAATTGAATTTATTTTGTTTTTTATTTGAGTAATTTAGCTGAAAATACACATTCATTTCAACTGCACAAAAAGACTAGTTTGTTTCTGAGTTTGACATTAACTCAGTTTCAATGTAAAACTTACATTCACTGAAAAAATTGACTTTTTGTGATGGATTAATGCAACATTTGAGGTAAATGCTTACTTGATGTATTTTAAGACACACATTGCTACTCTGTGTGTCACCTCAAAAAAAACCTAAAGAAATAGGCCAACTGAGCCCTCCACGTTTAATTTCAATTTCTCGATGCTTGAAGGTTTCTGCAGTGCAGCGCAGTCACAGATTTTCTATCCGTGTATGTTTCAGTGGAAAGTGATTACAAATTATTTGCAGGAAATTCCCCAATTTACTGTTACTTACTGTTACTAGAGCACAGGTAAAATTTTGAAAGGTAATGTAGCTTGGAAATCTGAAACACACAGGCACAATCCTACTTGTCACAATGTTGGCCACCTTTACCAAGCAGCTAATGCAGCAGCTGCATTTATTGTACTGGTTTGGCTCTACAGCTAGAACAGTAAAGCATAGACTTTATCTGTAGTATCACAGCAGATAGGTTTTATGAATCTGACATTAGTATGTTAAAGTAGTGCTGAATCGTTTTCCATATGTGCAGATGAATGCATGTTTTGCTATATTTGCTGTTTGAACTACTAAAATAGGAAGTTCTATGTTTCTTTAGAGGTTCTCAAGTAATTGTTGCTCTTCATGACTGTGGTCCATAACTCCTGTGAACAACCTCTGGGGTCCTGCTGAAGGACAGCTGCTTATTCGTCAGATGTCTTGACCAGTCAGATGAACATGTAATCACGTAGATCCATAGATCCAACAGAACATGTTGTAGTCGACCATCTGCTCTGTTCTTTACTTTGCAAGCAGAAAACAGGCCCTTTCATGATAACGTTAGGATAGTGCGTGTGCATGCTTGCGCGTGCGTGTGTGTGTGCGTGTGGGCGTGCATGTGTGTGTGTGTGCTTGACTGTTTACACCCCAGACATTCTGAGGCCTGACATTGATTCTGCACACTTCAGATTTCCAGATGTGGTTAATTCAAAGCAGTACCTGGCAGGTTTTTAACAAACACACAACTACACACTGCAGGTTCTCGGTACTGTTTATTGTGAGCTCTTCCTGCGCTGCCTAATTAATACCGTGTGTGTTACCGGATGTGGACGGGTGAATTACTCCACCGCTTGACTCTCTCTTCAGCTGAACATTCCCTGATGCTTCAACTGAAGCATTAAGGAATTGGGTAATTTGATTCACAGATTGGATGACAGGAGCAGAGAAAGATGAGGAAAAGGATGAGGAAGGAGGGAGAAAGAAAAAACGCAGTGAAAGTTGCATGGGTGTCTCCTGAGAGTTTTTAGTAACAGGGTGAAAGTGAGCTTGAGACAATAACTGCAGGAAACTGAGATTCTGTCGGTCCAAAGGACTGAAGCTCGGATCGATCAGAACTCACTCAGGTCCGCCTGGGCTCGGGGTAAGTGCTTGGTAACATTTCGTGTGCAGCGCCTACATGAGGCGTATTGACACATTATGCAAAGTGACATTGAACAGTCACAGCTGATGGACTATTTATAATTTTAAGTGCCTTGCCTCAAGATATATCAATTCTCAATGTTAACGCAGTGGCTAAACTTTAACCTCTTATGACAAAAAGATGACAGAAAGTTTTAAAGGGACAGTGTAATGTAAAATCAACTTCTTTCAGCTTTACATCATGTTATAATGTTATTGCTCCATGAAAAACATGCATCTTTGAAGAATCCTTTAATCTCCCATAGCAACCTTTCAGCTGTGCAAAATGCCTGGGTGGGACTAGGCGCATCTCCTCCTCAGAGCTTCAGTTTCCAAGCTTCTGAGCTTCAGCCTCAGAACTGGACTCACGGAGTGATCGCCACACTATGAAAAGCACAGCAAGGAGATGGTGAGTTCACAGGCTGTAGGAGATAGAAATGATGGCAATTACTTGGAGAGGTCTTACTTGTTGAACAGGAGTTTGTTGCTTTGGGAGGGTTAACTGAAGTGTACGGGGTCCTTGCTTCATTGTGGGTCCAGGAGGAACAGCGTTGGCCACGGGAATCTGGAAGGAGTGCATCAGAGGGTGGACAGGTAAGTTCAGTCGAAGTGGAGACAGAGGAGCGGTGACAGCCAGTCGGAGAATCCAGGAGAAACCTGCAATCAAACGGAGGAGGTGAGTCTGGAAACTGGGGCAACCAGTGGGTACGTTCCACAGAGTTAGGTGGGAGGTCTTGATCAGAAAACCAGGCTGACCGTCATAAGGAGGATCCAGGGCATCTCAGGAGTGAAACACCTGAGGACAGGAGACAACAAGAAAATCACTCGGAGATCAAAACAACAATGAGAACCGAGACCAGCTCTCAGAGGCTCAACGGTACCGTTACTGGCCAACACTCAGGCATCCAAGTTCCGGCAGTCAGCTCCTCTTGTACTCCTCGCCTGATGAGCAGATTGATCTCAGGTGCGCAGGATGACGACACACCACTCTGGAGAGAGGTGAGTCTGGTGCTATCTGGTGGCTGAACGGTGAGTAGCAGTTGACAGAATCCCACAAGGAAAACCAAAGAACCCTGGAACACAACAATGAAATGTTATAAAATGGCACTTATATGCTTGGAAAACACATATTATTTTTCTTTATACAGCTAATACCTTCAACTGTACTAAATCTAAACACATAATGTTTGAATCATCCCAAAATGAGAGACCAATTTCCACAGAATTTAACATAACATGTCTAGTAAATACTGACCTGAACACTAAAAAAAGGGTAAAACATTCAAGTGGTTGAATACTTTCTGTAGGCTTGTGCTGCACCAAAAGGAAGCGTCAAAGTTTGTGGCTGTTTGCCAGTCAAAACTCATTTTTAAATTTTCTGTCATCTGCCATTGTTTTTTTTTTCTCCAAAAAATAATACTCTGAATCCTGCCGAATACATAATTCTTGCCAGAGTGTAGAACAGAGCGCTGACAGCTGAACTGACAAGCAGTCTTTAGGAAGCCGTCTCCTTCATTGTTCAGACTCAGAATCTCAAACATAGATACATGCTATCAAATTTAAAGTGCTGGCCTTCGTTGCCAGGCTCCATGATAGTAGCTGACATCACACACTCAGAGAAAGCGGAATGGGATTTGAGAGACAGACGTCACTTTGACAGGAAATATTATGACATATTATTACTTGAACATCTTTCTATTTGTGACTTGTCTTCCTCTCCATACGGTGACGGACTCAAATAAAATCATCCTAAAATGAGAAATGTGGGGTAAACACAAAGTATTTCTCTTTTAATAACAAAACTTTCAGCATTCTCTTTAAATTTATAGTAATCGCCTGTTACTTTGTTGTCGCAGCACCGATGTGACAGGCGATCAAAGTATGTACATCCACACAAAGACCGAAATATAAAATATGTGCAAACTGAATTCAGAATGACATATTGATAAATTATGCATTTATTAAAAATGACTAATTACAGCAAGAGTTCTTAAGTAAAACTGACTTAATTTATGTTCTTGTTGCTAAAAAGAACATAAATTCTTTTTACCTGAACTCTTGCTTTGCATTTTTCTTGCAAACTGGATGCCTTCTTTCTTTAATATCTACAATGATTTTTATTTTCCTTTCCAATAAAAAAAAACTTTCTTATTCATTTAATTTGAGTATTGGAGGTTTGGTTTCTTGTTGAGAAGCTTTTGATGATCTGTTAATGGATATATTTGATCAGCAGCACATTGCTGCTAGTCACCGTTCTAAATCCCATGGAAACAACATTTTCCTTAATCCATTACTGTGCTGAGGGATAAACTGTAATAAAGCAGAAGTATGTCTCGCAATGGAAAGGAACCATGAGAAGATTTAGCGAAACAAAGTCTGACTCAAAGAATTATTCAAAGACGTAATTAATTCAGGAACAATCTACACCAAAATATGAAATCCTACCGAAGGTAATAAAAGATCATGTTTTTAGAATGTGATCTATATTTTTAAATCAAGATAAACCGACAAAAAGCAGAGGAAAATCCTCTCCCCGTGTTGGCCTGTCCATGACCTTGTTTTTTTTTTTTTTTTTTTGGTTTAAACAAGGTCAACCAGACCTTTATTTAAGGCATCTTGTGTAAACCAATATGGAAAATGAGAGTACAGCAACATAAAACAGATTTTGTAGCCAAAAATCTAATCCTTTAAGTAATTTAAGACCAATATTGGATGTTAAACTGAAGATATGATTAAAAAAATTCACATCCATCAGTCTGTAAGTCTTTCATAGTTTCCCCACTTTAAAGCTAATTAGCTTTTACCAACTTAATGCCAAGGAAAAATTCAGATTATTTTCACGACTTTTTCAGTGAAAGATGAAAAGAAGACTGATGATCCATCATGAAATCTCTGTGAAGTCTTGAATACAAGCTTTGCATCTGCTGCTCCTGTACAGGTCCAGACCCCTGTGTCGCTTCAAAGTAGGGGTTCTTTGATTGAACCCACTTGTTCAGCTGACAAGACCCTCTTTATAGATGTTAACATGTTTTGGCTGATTTTTTACACAGATCCACCTCAGACCATTGTTGAAGGATTATCTATGGCTTCAGATCAATTTTATTTGTATAGCACATTTCAGCAGCAAGGCATTTCAAAGTGCTTTGCAAAAGAAAAGAAGCTGGAAAACGGAAAACGGCATCAGATTGAAGTTCAGGTTGTAACGTGATGTCATAGAAAGGTTTGAGCCTGTCAACTGCCTCCAGACAAATACAGTGGGTCCACTGTATTCACAAGGTTTAGGAACCACAAAAAGCTAATATGCATAATATATACTTGAGACATCCTCTTATACTTGCCTATTTTTATTCCTCACTGCTACATTTCCTCCAGTTTTTCCTTCTTCTTCTTTTGCATAGTATCATCAACTAAATAAAGACTTCTTAATTCAATGGAATTTATTTTGTTTTTTATTTGAGTAATTTAGCTGAAAATACACATTCATTTCAACAAGGTTGATTTCTACCTCCGTTGTCCATAAGTAGCGGAGGAGTTGATAAAGATGATGCTAGTCAAGGCCACTTCTTGAAATCATCCTACCAATCTTTAAAAGATGGAGGTGTCGACATGAATATATTATCACGCTGAATGTGTTTAAGCAGAAATTCCTAGAGGTTTTCTTTCATATTTACACTGTTTGAAAGCGGTCTGGGAAATCCAGTTTACGCAAAGCATCATGGGTTACAGCAATAAGATGGACACTGAAGATTATTAGAGAATAATGCTTTTAAAAAACGTTGGTAGCTTTTAAAAAAGCTATGTTTTTGTACATATTGGTTACAGTATTATATGAAACAAATAATGTGTGAGGAAAAAAATGTTGTCTCTTTTCTGTGGTCCTACTGCCATCTGCAGATATATTTTTAGTTTATTAAATATTAATTTATCAACATAACTTTAAAAAACTATTATAGTAGATTACTGTTAAAGCAAATATAAGTTAGGACTGTGTGACTCTCCATTATAAGCTGCAGATATAACATTTTTCTGAAGCTTAAGCAATTTTAACTAATAAATAGGCATTATCTCTGTCTTTACAAAATAAACTGTCATGAGTGAATATTAAGCTTCAGAATCTGAAAAGATTTTAGTCAAAACACATTTAGTTGCTTTTCATTTATTCTTGCTGTATAACATATGTATTAAAGGAGATAAAACCTTTAATTTTGGTGGGTGCCCTTAGGGAACCCACCAAAAAACCATCCATGCAAATCCTTTGTTGTCAGAAAGTTTAACAAAAATAAAATGATAATAAAGACTATGCCATTATTCCCCTAATTAATTAAACACACTGTCTCTTTCACCGTGTTTCACTTTATCTCACATTTTAATTTGCATATGCGATTATGAAGTGGATTTGTTGAAAGTCTAAACTTCACACTCAAACACTGTTGTTGGCAGAACTTCTCAACTGTAGGTGTTGAATTCATTATCTCCAGGTTAACTGCCTGCAGATCTCTTCACATTGATTTTTATTGCATCATCTCACTTGGAGGAAAAGTAGAGCCACTTTTACAGCTTTAGAGCTGCTTGATATAAGTTTGACTGGCAAAGGAAATGGAGGTTTTCTCATTGGATTTTTTTCTTCACCACTTTAATTCACATCCTCATGTAAGTTTGGATCTGTGTACTAGTACACACGGAACAACTTCTACAGCACTGCGGGTCTGGATACACATCACCTTTTCAGGTGATGTGTATCCAGTAACATTGACTTTAAAACCAACCAAAGCAACATCTTACTAGGGTCACGTTTAATGCCTTTATTTCTCGTTATAAAAGAAGTTAATACTTGAAACCTGCATTTTGCTTTAACTTGGGTTATGTTTGATTTTTATTTATTTTTTGTCATGGTGTGAAACACACAAATGTGACAAGAAAAAGAAACTTTTAAAGGTGATGTATTAAACTTCTTTATGAGCCAAACCAGCATCCAAGCTGTTGTCATTCAGACTCCGTTCCGTCACGATGAGGACCGCTGCTACTGCTGAAGCTGCATTTAACACTGAACCTCAGAAGGGTTCCCTGCTGTCCAACATGGTATTTTTCTTTTCTCTGCATTTTTGCAGATACAAGCAGACACACACACCTACACACACACAGTTGGAGTCATTGCTTTTGCCGGACTAGTTTTAGGTTTTGCCCTTAGGGAACCCACCAAAAATAAAAAATAAAAAACTCAACTTAAATCTCTCAATCTTTAGCTTGAAACACACACACACACACGCAGACACACACACACACACGCTTGCATTCAGGCACACAACAATCCATCACCATGATCAAGCCGGGAACGAATTGGAGCTGGCCGGTCGTACATCACCCTCTCTGAGCTTGTTAAAGACAGATGAAAACACACCCAAACACACACCTCTGTGGACACAGTGAAGCATGATGCCCCTTTAAAATGACAAGCAGGGGCAGCAAAGGCACCGCCTCACATGGTCAGGTGGAAGATTACCGACATTTGGCAGAGCTCCTCCTACATGGACGTCACATCTTCAGTCGTTCTGGCTGTTCATCCACATGCCGTTCTCTAACATCAGAGGGTCCAATGTGTTCATCTTCCTGACCAACACATTACAGCATTAAAACAAATAATAATAATAAAACTACAAGAGAGTCAGAGTATTGCTAAAATAAAGTGATGTTAAGGAACTATTGTCATGCGAGAATAAAGAATAAAGTCGTACCATTGAGTGAAGTCATGATATTACGAGAATAAAATAATTTCTTTCTAACTTTTTTCTAGTAATCTTATGTATAATAAAATGCAGAAACGAGCCACTTAAAGATTTGTAGTATACACACAACAAGAAAGAGCTTTTGTATGTTAATTTATGGGGTAAAGTTATGGAACACGTTAAATGAGGAGTTAAAACAAAGTCACAATTTAGTACAATTTGAAAGGAAATATAAAGAAATATAAATATAATCTTCTGTGTTAGTTGTCAGAAAGCCATCTGAGCAAAGTGAATCTATGATTGGAGAGTGGTGTTTTGTAAAGTTATTAGCAAAAACATTTTT